CAGAACTCAAGATACCGGCATGGAGTCTCATTTGCAATCGTGACCCGGGTCACCAAAAATTGCAAAATAACAAAACAACTTTGTACCACGATAAATCAAATAAATAAACGTCGGAGCAAAAATAAACTCGTGTTACAGAATAAACCGAAAATGATGCACACACATAAATATTGAATACAGTATATTTCCCGTAACAAACGTCACGATTGGAGAACGATTGTGTGTTTTTGTTCACCCCACCATATTATTTGTATGTTATCTCACGGAAATACTTTATTTGTAGTAAAAAATATATTTATATTTGTATATGTTTAGCTTTGTATTATTAGCATCATGGTTGCTGAGCACAGGCCGACAATCGTCAAGCAGCCAGCAACAAGCAGCACACGAACACTTTTAAAACGTTTGAAGCTGCATTGAAGCTCAGTTTGTGTGAGCGCACGTTAGGAAACGAGAACTCCGCAGTGGTTTTAATCGCCGGCGCACTGCGACTTCAGATCCGGGTCGCTCCCGTTCGATTCGATCTCACCGGCGATTGAAACGCTGGGCCAAGTATCCCCCCCCCCCCCTCATCAATCTGTCCACCCGGGAGCACTAACGAGGCCGTGGTGGGGTAAAGCGTGGGTTGCTCCCACCTCTTCCAAGCCGAGCCTCACCGAGGCGTGGATGGGGAGGGCCCAAAACTCTCAAGAAGGCACCTCTCTCTGGCGGAGTTCCTTCTGCCGGCAGTCACGTGGGCAAGCAATTTCAGGGCTGCGCCTTAGGATTTGTGGTGGTAGCGGTGGCACGGTTATTGTATTCAAAGCCTTTTTGGCAAAGCCGTTAAATTCTAGTTCGTATCCTACTCTATATGTTCCAAAGGCTATGTTTAATAATCAGCGCGTCAACATGGCAGGTTTCCTAATCGTCGCAACTGAAATTTGGAGTGAATAGCAAATCTGTAAACATGTTAAAACACATTTCCATATGTACATACGTGCACATTTACCACGAGGCAGCAAATAATATGGCTAATAAACATTCATAAATAAAGTCCAGGGCGATGGTAAAGTGCCCCGTGAAGTTGCCGGCCTCCTTCATTTGGGGACTGACCAAAATGGGAGAATAAAACTCGAATGTAAAGACACGCGCGGAGAGAGACGGGAAGGGGAACGCGTTCATACGAGAAACAAATCGGAAATCGGTCACTTCCTCGTAACCCCTCTCGTCGCTAAATCCGTAAATGGTTACGACATCAGAGCAGGGAGATAGTGCGCGCGCCAAGCCACGAGTGGTATCGAGCGCAGGCTGCGAGCCCCACGTGTGGATCCTTCCCAGAAGCAGACTCTGCAGCGGTGAGCACGCGTGACTCATACTGCACTGATGCGTCCTAACAAGGATTAAACCACGCTATGAGTTGTCCATCTCTGCATATCGCCGCCGCCGCCGCTGCTGCTGCTGCTATCATTCGGTCACATTTGCTCAGATGAATTTCGATGGGTGATCTAAGACAGGATAACTACGCTGTGCACGACTTAAGGAACTGCTGATGGGCCAAATCTTGACTTAAAGCTTTCGTGACTGCAGGAATTCATATTCTGTGGGTCTTTCGGTAAAGTCACGTAGATATGTTCAAAGAAATAACACAAATAACAAAAAATTACGACGTTTCGATCGCAACACAAGCGGTCGACCGCTTGTGTTGCGATCAAAACGTCGTATTTATTTTAACCTATCTACGTGACTTTACCGAAAGACCCACAGAATATGCTTTTGTTTTGTTGCAGGAGGAAACAAGGGCTGAGTACTTTTTGTATAGGTCTACACTTTGCTGTTGTGGCCGTTGTTGTTGTTGTTTGAAACTGCAGCCATCGTTCCCATAGTGTCCACGCCTCGACACGCGCCCGCCAACATCAAGGACTCGTTCGTCACCAGCCCTGCTCCTTTCTCTCTCGCGCGTTTTCAACCAGCGCACTGCAGGACGCACGGCGGCGATTCTCTCGTAGCTTCTCTCGCACTGCTGCTGCTGCCTTTAAATCTCCTCCCCATTGTGAGGTCGTTGTTGTTGTTGCTGCTGCTGCTACAACCTTGCTCAATTGCATTGCTCACTTTGAAGTGTGTCACTTGATCATCTCGAATATCTCTATCATCGTGTTTAACACGTAGTAGGCTTTCACGAACAATATCATCCATAAGAGGGTTTCTTTGGGTTACATCGCGTAAATATATAAATGTGTGGTTAAAACCCGCCACCACCCGACACAACCAACTAGTAAGGGTTGTCACGTAAACAGAACGTGGCCAATTCGTCACTAGTACAGCACACCGGTTGTGTGTTGGATAATGTACGTTGGCTCATTAATCCCCCCGCCCCCACTTTGCGCACGAGCGCAGAAGCGTGGTCACCACAGCTACTCCTCTATATAAGGAACGAAACAGGTGGACTTCTCCACAAATCTGGCTGTCGCCCGATGAAGCTGTTTTTTTTGTGGAAAAAGAACCCAATGTGGAACGCGTGTCGCCTCCGACCTTTAGCGGGCAGCTAACCACATGAGTTAGTGAGTTATTTGGAATGTAATCACTCACAACAAGACTATTTTGTCACATTTGTGCTGTCTGGTTTGTATTGTCTGCCTCGAATTCATCGCATCGTCCCTTTTGGGTGCACTAATTCAGTATAGGTCTAACCACAGAAGAAATAACCCAGAGCCCTGGCCTATTTATGGGATCGTGGGCTTTAACCAGGTCAATGAGGCTGAGATGTAGGTCCTGTTGAAATTCTCTCTACCTCTGCAGTGGAGAACTGTCCACCCCTCATGGTGACTGGAGCCAGAACGAGTCCACAGGACCTCCTGCATACCACACAGGTCCAAACGGTACCGCTCAAGCTCCTGACAGAGGAATGGAAGCTTCTCCTCCGCAATGAGCATTCGACAAGTCCACGTGACCACGCTCAGTGTTTTCCCGGTGTTCACTGAGAAAGCCTGATCAGAGGGGAAGAAGGGTCTTCCTCAGCCAAGCCTAAACGGGTGTTTCCACCGTGGTTACTGGTCAAGGTTCGTGTTCAAGTCAAGGGGTTACCAACCCCACTTACACACTAAACTTGTTACGCACACAAAAATACAAAGATCTCCCGTGTAGCCTTAACAGACTGTAGGGGCAAGTGCTGTTAGCGAGCACCTATGAAGGCCGGAACGGTACACGAGGGGGTGGGTGGCCAGCACCACGCCCGCCCGCCTTTGTCTCCCCAGTGGCGATGTTTACGCACCAGGTACTCATTGGAGGCTGAGTCGACCTAGGGGAGGCCAGGGATCGGTTCAGATAATTATCGTCACTGGTGTTTGCCATGAGCGGTAATCGAACCCAGGTCGCTGGGTTCGTAGATGCAGCGCGCTAACCACTACACCACCGCTCCTCGCACACACAGACACACACACGATGTACGCTCACCCTTACCCCGGCATCGCCACACTCAAATATTCTAAACTCGCGACGTTGATTCTAAACGTGGAAAGAAAAACCGGAGGACCCGGAGATAAATCCGGACGACCACGGGGATGGAGACACGCAAACTCCAAATATACAGCAGCAGGCGTGAGGGTCGGGATCGAACCCACGACCTCCTGCATACCACGCGAGGTAGTTAACATCTCCTAGCCACCGTGATGATGATGAGAGAGACAACGCAAACTCCAAATATACAACAGCAGGCATCGTCAGGGTCGTGATCAAACCCACGACCTCCTGCATACCAGGCGAGGTAGTTAACATCTCCTAGCCACCGTGACGATGATGAGAGAGACAACGCAAACTCCAAATATACAGCAGCAGGCATCGTCAGGGTCGGGATCGAACCCACGACCTCCTGCATACCAGGCAAGGTAGTTAACATCTCCTAGCCACCGTGGCGTCTGTACAGCACACCGCACAGAATCACATCACAATCTACAACATCCGTCGTCGACCGCATTACACCTCGACTATCGTACCAGAATCGACAACTTTATTTGTTATCCTGGAGAAACCCGATGAGATGCGAAGCACGCGACGAAGCGAGACCAACAAACAAACACTCCGAGTAAACACAGACGGCGCAATGGGAGTCTTTTTGGTGGGGGGGGAACATTTTTGCTTGATCATGCCTCGAAGCACAGTGGGGTTCGAACATTCCCAGGCAGAGTCACCCCGTGTCCACCAGCAGGGCCCTATGGGTTTTTATCGGGTTTTTTGGGAAGATTTGCTGGTTTATCCTCGATGTTTCTGTTGCGCGTCGTCGCTTTAAGATGTTCTCCGTTCATATTTTGTTTGTTGCAGTTGCACCCGACTCAAGAGCCGCATGGATCACGGGGCTATACCTAATCAATGAAACTTGAAACGGACGATCGTTTATTGACATCCCACGGACTGCTGGGCCGTAATAGAGATTTGCTCAGCCTCTGTCACGGCGACAAAGACAAAGGTCCCCCGTGTAGCCCTTGACAGACTGTTGGGGCAAGTGCTGTTAGCGAGTTACACCTGTGTGGGCCGGTGGCCAGCACACCCACCGCCCATAACCACACCCCCATCCCCACCCACCACCCCCCATCCACCACCCATGTCCCAGAGTGAATCGTCGATGCCGGAATGGGCACACAACTCCTCGCCACAGCCCTCCCACAACAACTCCAGACCACGCGTCCTGTGACCCACCCCCCACTCCTCCCCACTCTCCCCCCCCCCCACTTCTCCCCACCCCCCACTCCACCCCTCCACCCCTCCTCACCCTCCCCACCCCTCCCCACTTCCCACTCCCCTCCCCACTCTCCACTCCACACCCCCCACTCCACCCCTCACTCCACCCCTCCCCACTCCCCCCCACTCTCCCCCCCCCACTTCTCCCCACTCCCCACTCCACCCCTCCACCCCTCCTCACCCTCCCCACCCCTCCCCACTCTCCACTCCACACCCCCCACTCCACCCCTCACTCCACCCCTCCCCACTCCCCCCACCATTCCCCCACCACTCCCCTACCCCAGCCTTAAGTGAGTGTGGGTGGCCCCGGCAAGTCTCCTGCACAACAACGCGCGTCCCGCTGTCGGACAGGACGTGGCTTGGAGTGTCTCTGCGTGTCCCGTCTTGTGACCCCCCCCCCATACCAGCTCGTCTGTCTCCCTAGATAGCTCCTCGTCCGTGTCTCCGTGTGTGTCTCTCTGTATCGGGGCTGTCTCTGTCCGCTCGTGTCCCGTCTGACTTGGGGCGACTCCGACCCCCGTGTCTCTCGTCAACTCGCTGTGTGTCCGCTGCGTGTCTCACCTGTCCCACCTTCGTGGGAGTTTGCGTGGAGTCGCTGAGTCGACGGGTCGGGCTTAGTTGTTGTTGTTGTTGTTTGTTTGTTTTCGTGATCGCAAGTGGCGATTAAGGAGTTGAGGAGGAGTTGTAGAGCGAAGGGCCGTGTCGATGCTGCTACGCGCAGGGCACGAGTGAAGTAAGTGCGTGACACACACACACTGACTACACACACTACATACACACATACACTACATACACACTACACACATACACTACATACACACTACACACACACACTCAACATACACACACTACATACACTACACACACACACTACATACACACACTACATACACACTACACACACACACTACACACACACACCACACACACGCACTACATACACACATACACTACATACACACACTACACACAGTACATACACACTACACACACACTGACGGCACACACTACACACACTACACACACTACATACACACACTTCACACGCACTACACACACACACTACATACACACACTACATACACTCTACACACACACTCTACATACACACCCTACATACATACACTACATACACACTACAGACTACATACACACACTACACACACACACTACACACACACTACATACACTACACACACTACATACACACACACTACACACACACTACACACACACACTACACACACACTACATACATACACTACATACACACACTACACACACACTACACACACACTACATACACACAGCACTGTACTTGCGTACAACACGTGTCGTGCATGTCACCTGCGTGATTGAGACGTGCTGTACTGTAAGCACCTTACATAACGTGTTCTGTACAGAGCACACACACACACTACACGCTCTACACACACACACCACACACACACTATATACACACACTACATACACACACTACACACACACACTACATATACGCACTACATACACACACTACACACACTACATACACACACTTCACACACTACATACACACTACATGCACACACTACATACACACACTACACACACTACATACACACACTACATACACACACTACACACACACTACAAACACACTACACACACACTACATACACCCACTACATACACACACTACACACACACACTACATACACACACACACTACACACACACTGCATACACACACACTACACACACACGACATACACACTACACACACACTACACACACCATGGCATACCTGTGCACACGTCACACACAACACAAAAGAACATAACCACGTGTACACACCGCGTATACACATACACACGTAACATATACACCACGTATACATAGACACACATCACATACACACTGCGTAATCACGTCACATGCAGACACACCCCACGCATTCACACACACACACACCACGCTTTCACATACACACACCACGCATTGACATACACACACACCACGTATTCACATACACACACACACACCACACATTCGCATACACACACCCCACACATTCACACACACACACCACGCATTCACATACACACACCACGCATTCACATACACACACACACCACGCATTCACATACACACACACCACGCATTCACATACACACACACCACGCATTCACATACACACACACACCACATTCACATACACACACACTACTTATTCACATATACACACCACGTATTCACATACACACACACCACGCATTCACATACACACACACACCACATTCACATACACACACACTACTTATTCACATATACACACCACGTATTCACATACACACACACCACGCATTCACATAAACACACCACGCATTCACATACACACACCACGCATTCACACACACACACACCACATACACACACACCACACATTCACATACACACGCACCACACATTCACATACACACACACCACACATTCACATACACCCACCACGTATTCACATACACACACGCTACGCATTCACATACACACACACTCCACGCATTCACACACACACACCACGCATTCACATACACACACACCACACATTCACATACACACACACACACCACACATTCACATACACACACACTCCACGCATATACACACACCACGCATTCACCTACACACACGCCACGAATTAACATACACACACACCACACATTCACATACACACACCACGCATTCACATACACACACACCACACCACACATACACACACCACGCATTCACATACACCCACCACGCATTAACATACACACACACCACACATTCACATAAACACACACCACGCATTCACATACACACACACCACGCATTCACATACACACACACCACGCATTCACATACACACCACACCACACATTCACACACACACCACACATTCACATACACACACACCACACATTCACATACACACACAAACCACGCATTCACACACACCACCACGCATTCACACACACACACACCACGCATTCACATACACACACCACACACACGCACCACATACATACACACACCACGCATTCACACACACCACGCATTCACACACACACACACCACACACACACCACATACACACACACCACACATTCACATACACACACACCACACATTCACATACACACACACCACACATACACACACACCACGCATTCACATACACACACACCACATATTCACATACACACACACCACGCATTCACATACACGCACACGCCACGCATTCCCATACACACACCACACATTCACATACACACACCACGCATTCACATACACACACACCACGCATTCACATACACACACCACACATACATACACACACCACGCATTCACATACACACACACCACGCATTCACACACACACACCACGCATCCACATACACACACACCACACAGACACACACACCACGCATTCACATACACACCACACATTCACATACACACACACCACACATACACACACACCACACATTCACACACACACACTCCACGCATTCACACACACACCACGCATTCACATACACACACACCACGCATTCACATACATACACACCACGCATTCACATACACATACACCACGCATTAACATACACACACACACCACACATTCACATACACACACACTCCACGCATTCACACACACACACCACGCATTCACATACACACACACCACACATTCACATACACACACACACACCACACATTCACATACACACACACTCCACGCATATACACACACCACGCATTCACCTACACACACGCCACGAATTAACATACACACACACCACACATTCACATACACACACCACGCATTCACATACACACACACCACACCACACATACACACACACCACGCATTTACATACACCCACCAAGCATTAACATACACACACACCACACATTCACATACACACACACCACGCATTCACATACACACACACCACACATTCACATACACACACACCACGCATTAACATACACACACACCACACATTCACATACACACACACCACGCATTCACATACACACACCACGCATTCACATACACACACACCACGCATTCACATACACACCACACCACACATTCACACACACACCACACATTCACATACACACACACCACGCATTCACATACACAAACCACGCATTCAAACACACACAAACCACACATTCACATACACACACACCACGCATTCACATACACACACACCACGAATTCACACACACCACACATTCACATACACACACCACGAATTCACATACACACACACCACGCTTTCACACACACACCATGCATTCACACACACACCACGCATTCACACACACCACACATTCACATACACACACCACGTATTCACACACACACCACGCATTCACACACACACCACACATTCACACACACACCACGTCTTCACATACATACACACACACCACATACATACACACACCACACATTCACATACACACACACCACGCATTCACACACATACCACGCATTCACACACACACCACGCATTCACGCACACACACCACGTATTCACATACACACACACACACCACGTATTCACATACACACACCACGTATTCACATACACACACCACGCATTCACATACACACACCACATTCACATACACACACACCACGCATTCCCACATACACACACACACCACATTCACATACACACACACCACGCATTCCCACATACACACACACACCACATTCACATACACACACCACGCATTCCAACATACACACACCACATACACACACACCACGCATTCCCACATACACACACACCACACATTCACACACACACAACGTATTCACATACACACACACCACATACACACACCACGTATTCACATTCACACACACACCACGTATTCACATACACACACCACGTATTCACACACACACCACGTATTCACATACATCACACGAGCGAAGTTTCGCAGGCGCGTACCGCGGCGTCGCTCACAGCACACCTTGTGTGTGTTGTTGATGTTGTTGTTGTTGAAGATGTTGTTGTTGTGTATAACGGGTTAAGATGTTGGCCACCCGAAGCCAGCAGACCCGCCACCACTCTTAGCACGACGTTTATAATATTGATGATGATGATGATGGGGCTCTTGGTAAAGTTTTGTGAGCGATGGATATCAGCCGCTGTGACACGGATCAGAAACGTGCTTCGTCATACAGCATGAGACTGCGATAGAAAGAGGAGAAAGCACGTGGTGAGTCGCAAGCGGAGAAACCTCGAGTCTTAACCAGTTCGAGTGTGGGGAAGGAGTTTACTCATTGCAACCAAACATGCCAACGTTCCAATGTAGCAGGACCCTGCAGAAAAGGAGCCTCAAGACTCGATTAGGCTGTTCCGGGCAGAAAAGTGTGCAGGGATTAGATTACTAACGTGCAAGCCAGAACACAGCTTCCCTGCCGGTCCAAACCAGGTAATTCTGCAGAGTCCCAGAAGGGAGCTTGATTGGTGTGCAGAAGGATGCTTGGTGGTCAGGTTTGTAGGGGTGTAACAATGCATTGATCCATTGATAAGTATCAATTAGGATAAACACATGCACCGAATCGTGTGCGTAATAGTTTTAAAAAAAATTAGTTTAAATGTGATGCATGGAAAGAGATCAGGTGAGTGGTTGCTACAGTCGACTTCACCGAATCGTCGGTTTGGATCAATTGTTAAGACCCCTACTGGGTGTCCAAGCCTGGGGTGATGGTTTTCAGCGCGACGCTCCGTAATGATTGCGGGCGAAAAAAAGTGCCGTTAAATCTCGTCACGCGCTCAATTTCATCAAATTCCAGCCTCGAGAATTAAAATCAAACAGTTTCACTTGTCACGTGACGGATATTGCTTACTCTCTGTGGCAGTTACTCTGTAGAACAGAGGTCACTTGAAGCAATGCGAGAAGTAGCTCTGATGACATGCGCTTCTGCGGGGCCGTTCTCTTAACACGACGGACAAGCTGCAGTGCCTTTGTTAGAGATCCAAATGGAGACTTCTTACTCAGGATGCGATGGCAATAGCACCATAGGAATCAAATTCAGGTCACCCGGTTTACAACTGAGTACGCTAACTGCCGCGCCACCACTGCGTACACACTTGTTACCGTAAACAATAAAGCTAAATTACGCACTTGTGTGAACGGAGAATTTCTCAACAGACTTGTCATTGTACAAAGAAATGCGGCCATCTGTGGAAGTGTGGTTTTATTTAAATATATTTGGTGCAATAATGCTTCCTTTGGTTATTATGAACCTTACAAGGCGACCCTTTGTTTCTATCGTTGCGCAATGCCTTCGGGTCTCTGTCTGGCCTGGACCCTTAATTTGGTCTCAATTTAAACGTTGAGATGACACCCCCCCCCCCCCCCCCCGGTTAGGCAATTAGCGGCGGTGCAAGCAATTTAAGGGGTTAAACGGCACTTAGATCTGCCTCGTCAAATTCAGAAATGGGGTTTCTCACAGATATGGATTAATTGGAAATCTCTCATTAACTGATTATAATGTACAACAATAACGATTATGACAAGAATGCCCTTTACCAAAGAAAGCCTCACTGAGTCTCAAGACTATTTTCAGGAGGGTCCTGCTCCATTATTGGGGATGTTTGGTCAATTCCTCTTTTAAAATGAGGAGTTCAGATGGGCGTTGGAGGATACCGGAGACAATCCACTGTGCATACAAGGGGAGTGACACTCAAAGCTCCGCACAGATAGATTCAACAATCCGTTGCGGCACTGACATTCCCTAGCTACATATAACATTTTGCAAAGAAAGTGAATGCAGTATATGAACTAGGATTTAACTTATTTTATTTTTATTATGGTGTGTTCAAACTTAACGTGTATGCTCTAAAGTGCACACAATTATGCAATACTATCGGATGCTTAGGAATTACACTTTTTCTCACGCCACATAGTCATTGATGAATCGATCCGTCATTACCTCCCTCAACTAAATAACAAATGCGGTTCAGTTCATTCGGTTATATAAAGGTTGACTTGCATTATTTAGATTTAAAAAATTCTCAACTGCCGACGGAGGAAATCACTGCTCTGTGCTAATTCGTGCAGTGACCCCGTGACCTGTTGTTACACTTTCCGGCTAAGGTTAAAGATGTGAACGCATTTGCTCCGTCCATCCATCTGTCTGCAGCGGAGGGTCACGATAACTTGTAAAGATAATCCAGCACAAATGAAATTACCGTTTAAGATGGTGTTGCTTATTAATGACGGACTTATCCCACGAGAAAAGAAAAAATCGGCAAATCGAAGAAATGGCTACACGACACCTTGGCGATTAAATAAAAACCAAGCGATAATTTGTAAGCCTTTTCGCCCAAGGCGATGACGTCAAATACCACGCCCTCGCTCGCCTCGCCGTGACATCGGTGAGACGACGCCTCACGACGTTACACTCACACGCCTAAAACACACAAGATCTCTCGTCATTTCCATCACTGCTCCGATTCAGTGTTCCCTACATCACGCGGGAGACGGGCACACACACACACACATGCAAGGTTAGAATCAGCACTCACCTAACATCATGTGGAACGTGTTCACCAATTGTGAGGCATGTGCAGGGTTGGATAATTTGGTGAACTTAAAAAGTACGTATTTGCGATGAACTGCGAGATTGTGAAACCCTGGTATAAGCAATCCCCCCTTCGTTTTGTGCGATCAGGCAGAAAGAGAGAGACCGCAGGGTGAGATGATTTCCCAACGACCGCAAAGCCCGCGGCAGTGACCTCACACGCTGTTTAACAAGGTCAGTAAGCTCTATTGCAGCTCTCAGCCCCACAGCCATACCCCCCCGTCCGGGCTCATACCTCCACACTGGTAGACAGACTGGTAATTAGAATAGAACTGGCCTAGAGCAGAGAGCCCATGTGGCCACGGTAGCTTGTCCTGGGAACATGCTTTCTTATCAGATTGTAAACTGGGCTGGCAGACCCGCATTTCATTTTCGAATTTGGTCTTATTTCCGCATTTTTATTTGCAGCTATGCTATTGGTGTCACGTGCGTTGGTTCGCTACTGTCGCAGTGCGGAGAGCATCACCACCGTGTGATCGAGAACGGCCCGCAGAAGGTGATGTCTCAGAACTGCTTCCGAGATCCCATCAAGTTACCTCTTATCCACTGCTGCACTTTCTCACACACCATGCTTATGGAGGTGACATTCACGTGGCACTCAAAGCAACAAGAACAACATTTTGGCTCTCAAGAGTTTTCAATTTTTGCCGCATTAAGTGAGCGTAAACTCGCTGCACTTGAGAGCCAGGTTTAATCACGGGAGGCCCAAGACCCAAACATGACCCCAGGATGGCAACGGCGTCAGATGTCAGTGGTGCTCTGATCCCTGAGCCACCTGACTTTCTTGAAGTCGGTTACCAGGGGACTGTCCATTGTGTCCGGCACTTTTACGCGACTCGCTGTGAATGAATGGGACCGTTTGCAGTTTTACAAACTAGCGCCAAGCCCCACTTGCCGAGCCTGTGGCCAAACAAAGCCTACGACGAAATCACACCGTCCAATCTCATCGGATCTGAGAAGCTAAGCAGGTTTGAGCCTAATCAGTGCTTGGGAGGAGATCCTGCCTTGGGGTATTGGCTGCGAGTTCAGAAGATGGCAGTATGGAAATAGATTATTTAATTTGTCCACGCGGAGCTGTGTCGTCCGCTCGTAGGTACGGTGGGTTTTCTCACGTGAAGCTACGAACGCTCCGCAATGGAATTGACGAGCAAAACACTCCAAAGCACCATTTCATGCTCGAGTGATTGCAACCTCCTTCATCGGGCGGTTAGCCAGAATCTCCGGCGAAACGTCACGCTACTCAAATTGGAAATGTTGTGGCTTTACTCTCCAACACACAACTGGTGTGCTGAAGTAGTAACTAATTGACACGTTTTGATTAGGTGACAAACCTTACTAATTGGCCGTGTCGGGTTTAACGACACACTTATAGTTATGCGATGTAACCCAAAAAAACTTTCATCACGGATGATATTGGTCACGAAAGCCTACCACGATGTGCCAAACTGGTGCCGTTACATGAGACATGTGGCGAGCAAACTGGGATTTTAATTTTGCAAAGTTACAAAGCGTGGTCACACCTGTGCCGACCGGTGAGCAGGGCCTTGGACACCAATTCTGGAGTGTGTGTACGTTCTCCCCCCATTCTGAATGGGTTTCCTCCAGGTTTTCCGACTTTCTCCCATAGGTAAAACAAAGACACCCCATACAATGTAACCGGCATTGGCCTAACATCCAAGACTGAATCACCACCTGAAAATTACTCATTTGGGACCCTCCTGAATAGTAGTCTTGAGGCCTAGTGAGGCTTTACCTGGGTACAATAAAGGATATTGCAATGATTATTAAACGAGCTGATATCTGCAGCAAATCTGCAGCTGTTGGGGCAAGTGTTGTGTGACGGTCGTTACGGTATACGAGGGGCTGGGTGGCCAGCACCACGCCCAACCAGGGGCGATGTTTACACACTGCACCAGGTACTCATTTGAGGCTGAGTCGACCTAGGGGAGGCTCAGTTCCGGATCAGATAATAGTCACTGGTGTTGACCGTGGACGGGAATCTAACTCTCGGGTAACTGGGTTTGTAAGTGCAGGGCACTCACCGCTGCACCACCACTCTTCACACACACATGCACGCTCTCCGAGCAGAAATCCACAATAATCTGGAGATGCAATTCTTGCAAAGAGCGGGAAATGAGTGTCACGTGCCGTGGCGCTGGGCGCGATGAAACTGGACTTCCCGTCCTGGGCCAGCCTCACTTTGTCTGAACACAAAAGAGTCGTCGGTGGCGGCATGAGACGCAAGAGAAGTTAGGAATGCGTGACTGTTGGCTTGGCTGGTGATGATGATGGTGGTGGTGGAGATATGGTTTGATGATTGATGGTGATGGAAACGTCTGACATGCTGCATGTTGCTGATGATGACGATAAAAAAAGAATATTTGATTCCGATGATTATGAAAAAAAATGTGCCATGCTGTTGATCAGATGAAGTAAGACCATCATGCTGAAATGTTCCGTGTTGTTTAGAGCGGTGTTGATGATGCAAATAATTGATGCTATTGATGCTGATGATAGTGACGGTGGCAAGCATCACAAGCTGCCTGCTTTGGCATTATACATCATCAATCTGACACGATCTAACCCATTTGTTGTTCTCTTGGTCGTGAAAGATGATGTGTAAGATAGCGATCGTGACGATCACGACAGCGATGAGCCTCACATATTGGCTCTCCATCAGTATCCCACAAAGACAAAGATCCCCCGTATAGACTTTACAGACTCTTGGGGCAAGTGTTGTTCGCGGGCAGCACCTATGAAGGCCGACGCGGCACACAAGGGGATGGGTGGCCAGCAACACGCCCGGCCGTCTTTGTCTCCCCAATGCACACCGCACCAGTTACTAATTTGTGACTGAGTCTACCAAGGGGAGGCCCAGGACTAGTTCAAATATTCGCCACTGTTATTGGTCGTGAGTGGGAGTCAAACTCGGCTCGCCAGATTTGCAGCGCAGTGCGCTAACCACTGCACCACCGCTCGCCATACGTGCACATGCACACACACGCCACTGGACACGCGCGAGTTCTTTGTCCCGATTTTACGCGGCTGCCCCTCTCTCACCGGTGGGGCGGCAGACGGCGAGGGAGGACAAGGAGGGAGGAGGTCTAAGAGTGCGCGTGCGTCATCCGTGACACACGGACGCGCGCACAAGGTGCGGCTGACGGTGCCCGACAGTGACGATGATGCAACGGACCGTTCCGTTCGCTGCCTCAGACGACGACGACGACGCCGCGTCGTCGGGTTCACCATTCCCGGCGATGTGGAAGAGTAATGAACTCGCAGGCTTCTACGTTCTCAACTCTCGGCTTGATATGAAAGCGCGTCAAGTCAGGTGACAGGGCCAGTTGTCGATGGGCCGCGCAGTCAGACACCTCCCATCATGTCAGTGCCAATATCGCTCTCAATCGAGTAGCCATCGGTGCATGTGACAACACAGCCCCTCTAGACCGATAGCATGTTTTTTTTTTGTTTCGTTGACACGATTATCACGCATGTGCTCGGTGGTCTGAACTTCCATCGATAAGCTCAACAACGGAAACAACCTGCCGTGAGAAGTGAAGGGGTGTGGGGGCCTGCTGCCGTGTGCTGGGGCCAGGCGGGAGGCCCGGATTGGATACAACGATACGAAAAGGGTCGCCTACGATCGCGCTTTCCCTCCGTGACCTTCGGGCAAACCGTCCCCCGTCTCTTCCCCTCGTGCGCGTCGGCTGCAGCTGCCAGGGAGGCATCGTCCTGCGCCTCCACAAACTTATAAAGAGCCCCGCGCTTTCATCATTTCAGAAGGGCCCCGCTGCGTAATTCGAGCAGCCGCTTGCTCGCACACGCACGCACGCACACTCTCCCTCTGTACGCTTTGGCAAATTCTTACATTTGTATTTGTGGCTCAGCCCATAATCTTTCGTGGTCTAGATATATATATATATATTTCACTAAATTTTGGTGTTGAGTCTGTGCTTGCTCGCGTTTTTGGTTTTCCTGCTTATAATATTATCAATTTTAACACGTAGGCTTTTGCGGCCAATATCATCCACAATAGAGGTGTTTTGGGTTAGATCGCGTAAATATATAAAAGTGTCGTTAAACCCGCCACCACCCGACACAGCCAATCAGTAAGATTTGTCACCTAAACAGAACGTGCCAATTTGACTTTAAACTTTCGTGACGGCAGGAATTCATATTATTGGTTCTTTCGGTAAAGTCACGTAGATAGAAAATCATATCAAATAAATTATAAAATTAAATAAAACATAAAAATAATCAATTTAGTATTTTTATTTTCTATCTACGTGAATTTACCGAAACAACCAAGAATAAGAACATGCCAATTTGTTACAAGTACAACACACATGACATCTACCCCTCTAAGGAGTAAAACAGGAGGAGGACTTCTCCTCAAATCTGGCTGCCGCCTGATGAAGCTAGTTGTAATTACTGGCGAAACGTCGTACTCGGATTTTAAATGTTGTGGCTTGGCTTTCCAACACAACCGGTTAGTGCTGTACTAGTGACGAATTGGCCACGTTCTGTTTACGTGACAACCCTTACTAGTTGGCTGTGTCGGGCGGTGGCGGGTTTTAACAACACAGTTATATATTTACGCGATCTAACCAAAAACTGTATTAGGGAATTGCAATAGAGGAAAAAAAAATTAAAATATAAATGCCTGGTAAAATTGAGAAATGTGTATCAAAGTCTCACGGGGAGGTTAAACCAAGGACCATGAAGAACAGATGAGGCAATCTATGAGTCTAGAGCATTTGTAGAGCTCACCAGCTGAGCTACATTGAAATATCTGTGGATTCTGCAACCTTCCTCTTTAAGCTGTCTGATCTTCATTCTCTGTATGTGAATCACCTACAAGGACTCGGTCTTCAGGAAACTCGTCAGCACGACTAGACGAGACAGCTGACTGCTGGAATTGTTTCCAGAGGCTCGGCAACAAGAATCATGGCAAGTCAAACAACAACAACAACCACAAGACAACTTAGATTAAGGCCATCAGTCTAACTCTGTACTACAACAAACAAACATGGCCAAACCAAAAAAACTTTTCGAAAATCACCAAAATAAAGCCATAAAAGCAATGAAACAGTGGTCATAGGAACTGTGACCGAATTTTCACAATAAACGACGTAAACAACATGTACTACCAAACTCTGCAGCCATAGCTGGCTGCATGAGTCACTCCACAACAGTAGGAGCATCAGTCGGAGTATCAACATTTTTCAATGCACCTTTAAGATCAGCACACTAAATCAAAACACAGATCATACTTTGCAGCGATCATCCGGAGCGAAACATTGTATTTTAGGCCACTAAATTGCAGTGGCAGCTAGGGGTGTACAACTCCTCTAGAGCAGTTTTGAGTGACACAATAATCCCCTGTGGGCTGGTGTAATCAGGAGGTTCCTACCAGTAAAACACGATAGTTGTGCAAAGTACAAGAAGGGTAAAAAAATTACCCAAACACAGACAAATAAAACTAAACCATCCCCATCCTACCAGGCAAAGCCGACATCGGCTGCAGTGTTCATTCCACGACCAGAAGCAATGAACTCGTCCAGCAGCTGAATCAGATTGGTGTCAGCGTTTCATACAATGGGATTGTGCAACTCGAGGACTGGGCAGCCGCTTCACTCCGCAAACGTTTCGAGCAAGGTGGCCGAGTGCTCCCTGCTTGTCTCTCGAAACGACGATTCGCTGCTGGAGCCCTTGGACAATGTGGACCACCATCCTAGCCACGACCACTTCCGCCGGCTATTTTCATGGGACCGCTATCAGTTTGTTAAGAAATTCCACCAAGACGGAGCATAGTGAGTGCAGACCATCTGTGACGATGCCACCTTCTGGAAGTCCACATACACTCTCGTTCTGACAGCTATGCCTGTGTCTCAGCTGTGGCGCTGAAGAGAACTGCTGCCGCTGTACCTGTGCGAATTAGACCACTCCAGCACTGCGTGTTTGAGGCCAGAGGCACTGGATAAATCATGCATTTGCAGCTTCTTAGAAAAGGCCAGCTCACGAATGATGATGCCATTGCGGGGGGGGGGGGGGGCGCTGCATGTCATGTCTCTCAATGATCCTCCAGATTTTACTGTACTCCTAACCTTTCTTCTGCGTGACATCTTCCGACTCCGGCCACGATCACTGCTGCGTCATGCACAGTTCATGACTCTCACCTCTGTGAGCGAGGCAAAAATGGATCTCTGCTGGACAAATGATCAGGCTGGACGGGCTGTCTGCCAGGATGGGATATGGGTCACAAGCACCGTGTCGCAGCAGCCGGCTCCTTCTCCAGAGGGCTTTTTGGTTGGACAAATCATGGATGCCAATTTGGATAGCAATTCCAGAGGTATCTAAAGCATGTAGAGAGCTGATTAAATGTTCCTGCAAAGGATATTGTCTCAACTGCTAAGTGTGGAAAAGCTAACATACATTGCTCTTTGCAAATGCAAATCATAGGAATCTGTTATAGAAGACTGAGAAACAGCAAGCTGTACACCACTTCTCAAGTTCAAATGTAAGAAGGCTGTAACATTATTGGAAATATTAACGGTTATGATTCTGTACACATTTCTGTAGCCGGTTGGGACATACTGACCCTGCTTCAAACCGCTTGGGATATTTCTTCCCACTGATAGTCGGCCATCTTGGTTACTCTCAAACATTCAGGAGGTCCTCTGGCCTTTTCTGATTCCAGGGAGTTACAAGACACAAACACTGCATTTAGTACTTTTATCCACTGTGTAACTTAATTATAGATTGCGGCTAATGGTGAAGTTTATCTTTTTTTACCAGACGAGAACTCAGGAGATCAAGATAGTCTCATTTACAAGAGTGACCTCGGCCATTAGACTTGTCAGTAGGGAGCAAAGATTGCTCGTTATAATCCTAAATTTCGCACCTCCGATTGGCATGGTTGGATACGTACGATGCAAAAGAAGTTAACCGTGCGTAGATACAAATTGAGTAGCCAGCGGTATAATTTTTCATTTTGGCAAATTTGGAACCTTGATGTTGTCACGCAGTGGCCTGCTGTGGCGATTGACGTCAGGGGATATTAAACGTGAGCTGTGGAGCTGGGCGGAGCATCGTATCTTCAGGTTTACTACAGCCGCAGCCACAACGATGGATTGTAAATAGTCAACGCTATAGCTTGCTGCGGTTTGACAGCGCGCGTGTCCGTGAGTGACAACGATTGATTTTGATCGGCAAAATCGATCTGTTCTTCGGCAACGCGGCCCGCTCACAAGACTACAGTGGTACGGGAAGTGGAGGGCAGATCATTCTGCTTGATAGCGGTCAGGATTTCTGCAGCTGTTTTTGGCTGATAATGGAAAAAAACACATTTCTTTGTGTGGTTAGATGTGCGATTACACGTGGCACGTAAGAATAATTTTATTTCATTACAAATTGCCAAGGGTTTTTTTTTCTGCGCACGCTATGCCTGTGTCTCCCACTCACGGCCAACACCAGTGACGTATATCTGAACCAGTCCTGGGCCACTCCTTGGTCGACTCAGCCTGGTGCGGTGTGTTAACATCGCCACTGGGGAGACAAAGGCGGCCGGACATGGTGCTGGCTACCCATCCCCTTGTGTGCTGTGCCGGCCTTCATATGTGCTTGCTAACAGCACTTGCCCCAACAGTCTTAAGGCTATATGAGGGATCTTTGTATTTACTTTATATTACTGTGAATATATTAGTGTGTAATATGTGTGTGTTATTGCACAGACAAACAAATATAAAGTGCTTAGGGTATGCTATGTGCTGTTTACCGTGCTGTGTGGGATTTATGTCCATCGGTCGGGGGGGGTAATGCACCTATCCCCCCCCCCCCTCCTATCTCCGACCACTCTTGCCCTATCACCTCACAGTGCATGATGTTGACCATTTTTGTCAATGATAATTGACGGTAACGGTGATCATAATGACGATTAAGGTGATGGTGGTGGTGGTGATGATGATGACGATAACACCTGAGCAAGACCTGCCATTGCACAGCATTCCTGTACACATTCATCCGATAAAGCCTTACCGAGTCTAAAGACCCCCTGTTAAGGAGGGTCCTACCACATTGGGACGTTGGGCCAGTCGCTTTTAAAGCAGTGCTTTTCACTTGACAAGGCGATGAGGCACCTGAGAAAACCCGCCATGCGTGCAATATTTACACGAGTTAAAAGAACAAAACTTTGCATATATTTTGTTATTGCATTTCTCGAACCGCCCGGAATGCGCCTCATCTCGTGTGACCTCGGAAGATAAACGACCGTGCCCTTTCTACGCCCAGATCGCTTGTCAGGAGTCGGCGATGCATTGAGACGGACGGGCGCACGGAATGGACGGCCTCTGCCGGAGGGAAGGCGCCGGCGTTGGCACCGCAAGCGGCTCGTGGTTCGGGCCCCTGGCGACGTCGGGACGGGCGTCGAACCGGGACCCCGCGCGCGAGCCTCCCAAGCTGACCCACGACCCTCCCTGGGAGGAGACCTTTGACCCCGAGGTGTCGCCCAGGTCTCAGGACTCCCCCCTGGACCTCACCCGCGAAAGGGAGGTGCCCAAAACCTACGACCGGCGTAAGTGTTCCCGGGAGGGTCTCGCGAGAAGCGCCACTTTTTCGGTTCCGTGACGGTGCGGCCGACGCCGCGTGCTGCTGCTGCTTGTCGAAGCGGGAGGAGAGGAGCCACGCGGCCGACAATCTGAGCACCATTGCTGACCCCGTGGGAGGGCCTGTGTCCAAAAATGTTCGTCGCTTGATCCGACGAAGTTGGTATAGCCGGCCCAAATTGACTAAATCTCGATTATCAATGTGGTAATGTGGGGCGAGGAAATGCAAGTCGCGCGTGAATTTGGCCATGTACATGTTGTTTACTTCTGTAGAATGGGGGCGGAACCGTAGAATAATGCTCTTGTAGAGTGCCTTTCATACCACGAGATTCAAGGTTACATCACACAACGCGTTATTATTCGTTCAGAGAAAGAGGCAAAACATTTCCCAAGGCGAATGTAAACATAACATAATAAATACATGAAAATAAGAAAAACTTGATGAAGAAGTAAAATATGGAATAGATGCCAGAACTAAGGCAAAATTATGCAACTAGGCCTTATTTATATTTTTTCTCGCAATTAAAATCATACAAATAATAACAGTATAAGGTTGGTAGTGGCACCATTCTTATCTGAAGCGTTTGTTTACATTTCATTGCCCGCAATATTTTGCGCTCGTGTCGCTCCTGAGCGGAACGTTTTCCGCCGTGCCCGTCGCGAGCAGATGGAGCCCTCGACCTCTCCCTGAAGACGGCCCCGTGGGGGCGCGCCGCCGCCGCCGAGGGCGGCCTCACCGCTGCCGAGGCCGGCCTCACCGTGCCCTCTCTCGCCGCCGCCACCGCGCGCGCTCAAGGATACCCGGCGGCCTCTTCCGCCGAGTAGGTCCCCGCGTGACGCCGCCGCATCGCACGCCAAGCTTTGCGCACCGACTACCACACCATCGCATCGTCACCACCCACTGCGCTGGTGAACGACCACCACCATGCCAATAAACCACCAGTCGCTCGAATTTGTGTTGTCCTTCTAGGCCTCCCCTAGGTCGACTCGGCCTCAAATGAGTACCCAGTGCGGTGTGTAGACATCGCCACTGGGGAGACGGAGGCGGTCGGGCGTGGTGCTGGCCACCCACCACCTCGTGTGCCGAGCCGCTAACAGCACTTGCCCCAACAGTCTGTTAAGGCTATACGGGCGATCTTTGTCACTGTATTCTTGTTCCCCCACACCTCCGATTTGTTGTCCTTCCCCAGCGCCTCTGATTTGCACACTTGGCTACGTACGGTGCTAAAGAAGTTCAACGTGCATGCATATACATACATACAAATGCACTACCCCATTACTGTTGGACCAATACCAACATTGAACAGACCTGCCACCTCCGATTAGCATGGTAGGCTAACACACATACAAGCGTGCTAACACACATACACTATAGTGCCACACAGCCCTAAACACCGCCACTAACTACATCAACAGTGCCCCAACGCAAAAAGCCTCCACATCGAGCACCGCACACCGTACAATTAATCTCCACCACACCACCCAACCTCACCACACCACCCATCTCCACCACACCACCCAACCTCACCACACCACCAATTTCCACCACACCACCCATCCCCACCACACCACCCATCTCCACCACACCACCCATTTCTACCACACCACCCATCCCCACCACACCACCCATCTCCACCACACACATGTGCACACCACCAGGTGACCCGTGGCACTAAAGCACTGCTGTCACATCAATGAATGAATGAACCACCCACTGCTCTGCTACCCACCGCCACAAACGCAGCGCGACTCTTCAGCCCACCGCCCGCAGCCCCAGAATCTTTCAGCGTGGCTGGTTTTTAGGAATTCACCGCTCGTAGCCATGGCAGCAACCAATTTTACTCAGCTCCGATGAACAATTTCACAAAAATCACGTGCCCGGTAGCTAATTTGGTGATAGATGTAATTCTTTTGGGATCTCCCGTGGTGAGATACAACGTGGGGCGCCTGTTATTTCCTCTCGGCCAAATGTCTGACTGTGGTTAAGTGCCTCAAGGAAAGCGGCGGCTGAGTAGCCACGGGGGGTTGGGGGTGGTGGCTCATAGCAATGTTATTACAACGAGCTAACGACGCGCAATCAGCGCGCGTCCGTGATGCACGGGACCTACACGAGTGCGACGATAATAAATGTTCGGATGTGATCAGCCTTGCTCCGTCCTGCCGGCGCCGCTACGTTGCCTTTTTATTATAAGGAGTTTTTATTATAAGGAGTTTTTTATCCGATGAGTGAGTAGCTGTATATACACGTGGGAGGAAACCGGAGCGCCCGGAGAAAACCCACACACGGACACGCACGCGCACACACGTACACACACACACGCGTACACACACGCACACACATGCGCACACACACGTACACACACGCACACACATGCGCACACACACACACGGACGCACGCGCACACACACACATGTACACACGCGCACACACACACATGTACACACACGCACACACACGTCCGCACATGCACACACACGCACGTACGAGCGAGGGGGCAACGCTCTATCCCCCTGGCGAGTAGTCCACTCGCTGTGCTGCCTTTTCCTGGCGGGCCAGGGTCTGGCGCACCCTCGACGCGCACGGGAAGGGAGTTTTACGACATCCGTGCAGTGATCCACCAACCCACGCCTCCACAGTGCTGGATCACAGGCCACCCACCCTACCCATAGGAACTGCGTTGACACCGTTGGGATTCTGGGTTCAAACCCTGTGATGAGACCAGAATGTCAGGTGCTTTGAATAACTTCCAGCTTGCTCGTTTCAGCGTCATTGTCGTTCAACGGACATTCTTTTTCAAGGCAAATAAAAGGTGTGGCACTCTAAGATATGCCAAACCCGTAGACCCGCACATATGGTGCAGTTAGCCAGAACCAAACCTTTCAAAACCATTTTTTCCGCGCACCCTAAAACCAGGCGGTTCAGCTCACCGATTGGAAGAATGCAGCAAGTCTAAAATGCCGGTCAGGAATGGTGGACGCAGCCAATTATCCTTCCCCGGCACGGTTCGGTCGTGTCCCGAATCTCCGCCACACCCACCAACGCCTCGTCGCCAAAGCGCCGCGTTCGCCACCGTGGCCACCACTGGCCACCGGCTCGCGTGACGACGGCGTTTCGCCTCCCCGCCGCTCGCCCGTCTCCCTCTTTCCGCAGGAACCATGACGGCGCCACGGAATGGCCCGATGGCGGACAGCACCCCGGCCGGCAGCACGCGGTGCTCTCGCGGCTGTGCACCGCGCGCCACCACGGCCTCAAAGTGCACGTCCCCGAAGGGCCGGCGCGCGACCCAAACGCCAACGGCGGCAACGGCAGCAACGGCAGAAACGGCGGTGGCAGCTGCTGCCGGGGCCAGCGAGCGGTGCTGGCCCCTGCGCGGCAGCAGCAGCAGCTGCAGCAGCTGCTGCTGCTGCGTCACCGCTCGCCCACCCTGCCCCTTGCGCTGCCGGTGCTGGCCTCTCGGCAGACGGCAGCTCCACAGGGGCAAAGACAATCGCAGCTGCACAAAAATTCGCAGCTGCACACAAATTCGCAATTGCACGCAAATTCACAGTTTCATGCAAATTCACAGTTGCACGCAAATTCGCAGTTGCACGCAAATTCGCAGCTGCAAACAAATTCACAGCCGCACACAAATTCACAACCGCACTCAAATTCACACCTGCACACAAATTCACAGCCACACTCAATTTCACAACCACACTCAAATTCCCAACCGCACTCAAATTCACAACCACACTCAAATTCACAGCTGCACTCAAATTCACAGCTGCACTCAAATTCACAACTGCACTCAAATTCACAACCACACTCAAATTCACAACTGCACTCAAATTCACAACTGCACACAAATTCACAACCACACTCAAATTCACAACCACACTCAATTTCACAACTGCACTTAAATTCACAAATGCACTCAAATTCACAGCCACACTCAAATTCACAAATGCACTCAAATTCACAACTGCACACAAATTCACAGCTGCACACAAATTCACAACTGCACTCAAATTCCCAACCGCACTCAATTTCACAACTGCACCCAAATTCACAGCTGCACTCAAATTCACAACCGCACTCAATTTCACAACCGCACTCAAATTCACAACCGCACTCAAATTCACAACCGCAGTCAATTTCACAGCTGCAAACAAATTCACACCTGCACACAAATTCACAGCTGCACTCAAATTCACAGCCGCACTCAATTTCACAACTGCACTCAAATGCACAATCGCACTTACATTCACACCTGCACACAAATTCACAACTGCATACAAATGCACAGCTGCACTCAAATTCACAACCACACTCACATTCACAACTGCAAACAAATTCACACCTGCACACAAATTCACAACTGCACACAAATTCACAACCGCACTCAAATTCACAAATGCACTCAAATTCGCAACCGTACTCAATTTCACAACCGCACTCAAATTCACAACCGCACTCAAATGCACAACTGCACTCAAATTCACAGCTGCAAACAAATTCACACCTGCACGCAATTTCACAACTGCACTCAAATTCACAGCTGCACTCGAATTCACAACTGCACACAAATTTGCAGCCACACACAAATTCAGAGTCACACTTGAATTTCCAACTGCACTTCAATTCACAGGCACACTCGAGTTCACTGCCATACACACATTCGCACACGTACTCAAATTTGCAGTCACAGTCGAATTTACAAGCACACTTGCATTCACAGTCGCACTTAAATTCACAGCAACACCTGCACCCGCATTCCCAGCCGCCCTCACGACCGCCGGATTTACAAACGCAGCCACAATCCCAGCATCAGCCGCACTCGCGACAGTTGCATCCGCCGATGCACGCGGACTTTCAATCGCAGCCCCGCAATCAATCGCAGATACAGCCGTACCCGCAGTTAGACTCGCAGCCACAACTTCCGCTGCACGCTCAGGTGCAGTCTCAGCATGTGGGGCCTTCCCCGACGCAACCGTCGCCCCAAATGCACTTCCACACGCAACTGCAACAGCAGCAACAGCTGCAGCAGCTGCAGAAGCTGCACCATCCGCACGCCCGGCTGCTACCTCATCCTCAACTCCCCGCCACCGCCCCGGCTATTCCCTCCGGCGCACGTTGGCCGTACCTCGCTCGCAGCCCGGACGCCGCCGCCGCCGCCTCCACCAGCAGCCACGGAGGGCCGTCCAAGCCGTCGTACGGGGCCCCCTCCTGCTGGCGCCGAGCGGCAGGCACGAGCATCGACGGGCAGCGAGGACGGCCGGACGCCATCGCCAGGACGCGCGTCTTGTCCAACGCCGCCTGCGAGATGCCGTCGGCCGTCCCTCCGGCGGCTGCTATCGCCCTCGCCGCGGGTGTCGATCCGGCCGCACGAGCGCCGTGGGCGGCGGTGCCGCGGACTTCTACGGCCGCTACGGCGGTCGTGCGGACGCCGTGCAAAGGCTCCCCATGGGCCTCTTGGGGGGCCGTGCAGCCCGAGGGACGGGCTCCAGTGGGCCCCTCGCTGCCTGCGCCTCACCGCTGCTCACAGGTAAACGACGCGCGTCTGAGTTGGCATCTTGTGGGAGGGTCTGTTGAGTGCATCCTTCGTCGTCGTGACGATTGTCAGGATTGTCGTCATCGACGTCACCGTTGACACCACCGTCATGGACCACCATCATGAGTAGAGGTAGTCTTGGCATCACTGGGTTGTGTAATGATTCATTGCGTTGCGATTTAATAAACTATCGCAATTTAGCTTCACAATTCTATCCCAAGAGTGCAATGTTGTGATGAATGCAAGTGTTGAAAACGTAAGAATCAAAATTCATCCTAAAATCGATCAACTGTTAGACAATGTGTTCAAGCTGGGCACCATTCGCAGCTATACCACCATACATTTGTATGCCACCTTTGGTTCCCTTCTCTTCAAAATGATTCCCCGCGTAGGTTGGATACCAGCCAATCCGCATCGTCGACCTGACCAAGGAAAATGGCAGCTCGTACCACGACCAGCTGGCGACCTTCCCAACCACCTCCTCCTCATCCTCCTCCTCCACGGCCGCCACGCCCACGCCGTGCCGCCAGGGTCTGCAACAGCCGCCGCTGCCGACCCCGCGCCTGCCGCCAAGTGTGCCCGACCCGGCGAGCCCTAAGGAGGGTGGCCTGCTGGAGACGCGGACAGAACACGAGCGGCTTCAGGACGAGGTGCGGGGGTTCGTGCGGGCGGCCGCAGCTCGGCGGGACGGGAGCTCCGCGTCGCGTCTCCGGCGCTACGAGCGGGAGGTGCCGCGTGCGACACTGGATGACCACGCCGATCGGGCGACGCTGCTGGCGCCGCCGCCGTGGGGGGGGGGGCAGCGGGAGCGGCTCCGGCACGTTCGTCGGGGAGGAAGCGCACCGGATCGCCGCGGCGGAGACACGCGGCCACAGGCGGCGGTGGACCGGCGGCAGGACACGCTCCGGGGAGCCGACGACCGGAGCCGGAGCAGCAGTCCGGAACGGGCACGCGAGACGCTGCGCGATGATCCGGAACACTTCGCAAATTGCCGTCGGCGGGAGCGGCGGCTGGACGGCCGGGACGGGAGTCAACCGCGTGACGATTGCGTTCAGGATCAGGATTTCCATCAGGATGAGTTTCAAGCGTGTCTGGATCGCCAGCAGGTTATCACGTGGGATGCTTATCAGGACGGTCGGCAAGATCGGTGCCATCCCGCGGATGAGATTGCATTTCAGCAGGTGAGCACCGATGGTGGGGCAGCGTGCAGGGAAGTTACGGTGAGCGGAGCGGCCGACTCAAAGAGAATCGATCCAGATTCAGACGGTACGCACGATGGGAGCCAAGCATCCAAACTTCCCAACGACCAGCACGCCGGGGATTTCCACGCCGCTGGCTCGTTTGTCGCACCAGCCGCGGAAGAGAACGTCACGGCAGAGAGCTGCGTGTCGCGGCTGGCCATCGTCAACATCATGACGGCCGCCACTTACGGAGGGAGCCGCAGATGCCGACCAAACGACGGAGGCCCAGTGGAGCGACGACGAAAATTCACCCGCAGGCGGTCGCTCTCATCGGCGGCAAATCGGCGATGATGGCGACGACGGCGATGACGACGACGGGCAGCCGCAGCCATCCGGGCAGGCCGTAGACTGTCCCGGCACGCACGCGGCCTTCAGGCGCTCGTTCTCGTATCCCGTCACCGAGCGCGACGTCCAGACGGAATGCGACGTAGTCTTCGTGAACAAGATGCTCGCTAAGGAGGAGGAGGAGGAGGCACGGAGGCCCGGGGCGATGCCGGGGCCGGCCGCCCGCCGCACGGCCAGGAAGAGCACCAGGGGTCACGTGAGCAACGCGGAATTCTGGGAGCTGCAGACCAGGAGACTCACGGCGACCGATTGGAAGCCGGTGGCGAGGCGGACGCGCCCGCACGGTTCCGTGGCCACGGCAGCCGATGCCGCGGTCGGCGAGCAGCTTCGAATTCAGGGGGACGTGGTCGCCAAATTTGTCCACACGCACGCAAAGATGGCAGCCCCCCACTTCTCCAAGAAATGCCTCGTGACGCTGACGAGAAACATCGACTCGTTGGTTTCGCGCGGGCGCAGCTCCACTGTCGTCGAGGGCTGCACAACGGCCAACTCTGCGTGGAAGCTGAGATCCAAAGGAGGCCCCGGGAAGATTCCTTCCGCGGTCGACAAGCTCAAGAGGCGGGGGTCTCCGTCTCGGCTGCCGAGCCGGCACAGGCTGGTGGTGGCTCTGTGGGACCCAAGCAAGGGCCCGGACGTCGAGAGCGTGGCACCGCGGAATGCGTCGCTGAAGGAGCGGATGGGATCGCGGTTGAACGGAGTGAAGAGCGAACGTGACGATGGGTGGAGGTCTGGATCTGGGGAGGCGACGCGCACACCGCACGCCGTTCAGCCTGCCGATGATGATGACGGTTGTGGTGATGTGAAGCCTCCGTTACCCTTGATTGAGCAAGAGGAAATGAATGCGATGAAAGGTGCGAGTCACGGGCTGGAAGGAAACGTCGATGAAAAGCACCCAAACATGGGGGGACACGCCGTGATGAAGAGCGAGATCTGCGTTGCGGACTGCCTCAACGAGCTGGAAATCGACGAAGACGACAACATCCTTTACTCCGACGAGCCGCCACTCAAACAGAGAATAAAGCACGAGCCTGACGATGGCGACGAGATGCCCACGGTTCCGGCACGCGTCTTCCAGCACGCGTCCCCGGCTGGGCCGGGGCCTGGCGCCCGCGAGGGTGAATCCTCCGGACCCGCGCGACGTCGGGCGCCGCCTGCCGGCAGCCGCGACTTGGAGCTCGCCGCCACCTTAACTGGTGCGGGTGGGCGGTCTCGGAGGAAGCGCTACGGCGACAACGGTTTCGTCGCCGAAACTCCGCGCTCCGGCCTTCGCGATGGCGGAGGCGGCCCGTCGAGGGATCGGGATGACGACTGGGCCAATGGGTGTCGGCGGGGCATGGGGCTGCTCGAACCGTCGGTGTCGGCGGAGGCCCCCGCCCCGCGGCACCGAAATTCCGGCACCGCCGCACCCTCCCTCCGGCACTCCCGCACCGGTCCCGACGCCGTGCGAGCGTCCGCCCCCGCTGCCCGCGACTCGTCCACGTCGACCAGGGAGGAGCGCGGCAACCGGAGGGCGGCGGCGATCACCGGGCGGAGGGCGGCGTCGGGCATCGTCGGCACGCCCGCATCGAAGAGGGCCGAAGTTCGACGGCGCGTTCAAAAGGAGCGTGCCGACCGCTCTCGCGGCCACCGGCGTACAGCGTGCCGGGCAGATGCCCGCGACCGCTCCGCGAGGCCGCACGGGACGCGGGCGGCCGGCCGTGAAGCCGCCGCCGCCACGGCGCCCGCATCCCGCCTCGTCGTCGAGCGCCCGTTCGCCGCTTCGGTGTTCGGGCCAGGCGGAGGGCAGAGCCCGCCCGCGGGAGGCCCCGCCTGGGGCCAGCGGGACGCCGACCTCCTCCGCTGCAGGCAGCTGCGCGGCCTGCGGCCGGGCCAACTGGAGCGGGTCGAGCGGCGGTACGCGCGCCTCAACGCGGGCTGGGTCGCTCCGGCGCCGGGTTTCGCCACGATTCCCCGCGCCGACTGCCCAAGGGTGGCCACGCAGGTGGCGAGGAGGGAAGAGCCAGAGGTCCGCGACACCTCGCTGGTGAGGGAGCTGTTCGGCAGGAGCGTGCGGCCCGAGGAGGTGAGGCGCCTCTTTATGGAGGAGTCTGACGAAACCGCCGTCGCGACCTCCGGTGGCGTCGTCGCCCAAGTCCCGACGGGCGACGAGCGGCAGGGCGGCCCAGCGGGCGTAGAGGGTTTCTCGGGAAGCGCCAGCGTGCGCGTGATCTGCAGGGTGGGGATACGGCCACGTGGTAAACCAAAGAAGAAGAAGAAGGGCGCAGAGAGGGGAGCTCATCGCAGGAAGAGGAGGAGGGCCGTCGCTCGCCCCGCACCGCCCACGTTGAAAACCGATCGTGCGAGAGGTCCGCCGTGTTCGGACGCGTCACGGAGTACGCTGGAAGGCCGAGTGGAGGCTCTGTGCGTGGACTCGCCCGATGAGCGCACCAACTCCTCGCCCATCTACATCATAGAAAACACCTATGGAATCGACGCCGTCGACGGATATCCGGTCGAAATGCCGGATTTCGCTTTCGACGGCGAAGCGGACGCGCCGGAAGCGAGCGCAGCTGACAGCGCGGTTGTTGAACCGCCGCGCGACGCCGTCGACGCGGTTTCAGATTGCGACCGCGGCTCCGACTCGGGCGACGCAACCGCCTTCCCGAGCAGCGGCGTCTGTGGCGTGCCAGACGGCGCCACGCCACGCCCGCCCATCACGGACGACGCGCGAGCGCCGGACGACGGCGAGAACGCTTTCATCTTGGAGGGAGACGTCTCGCCAGGCGCGGGTCCCGGCCGGGAGGCGGAAGAGGCGATCCCGCCGGGGGTGCAGGCGTTCTGTGGCACAGTAGCCGAGCGGTGCTCCCTGGAGCCTCCCGTCTGTGACGTCACCACCGAGCTCAATGGCGGCTGCGTCCGCGTGGGCGCGAGTTCGGAGGCGGCCACGGCGAAGACGCGACGCCGCGCCGACGTCGCCCACTCCAAGCCGCCGATCCGTCCGGCGGTGGAATTCACGTGGGTCGGCAACGGCGCCGCCGGGGCCGCAAACGCCGGCACGGACTTCGACACTCTTCTTCCGCACCTCAACGTTTCCGCCCTGATCTCCGGCGCGATGAGAACCGCCGGCGGCCCGTGCGCCGACATCGGAAGTCCGCTCTTCCGGAACGCTGTCGATGTCATCGGCGGTCCGCACGCGACGCCGACCGCACGCGGCGGCCGCCCGGACGCTGGCGGGGACTCGGCTTTCCCCTCCGAGGCGCTCGCGGATGGCGTGGTGCCAACCCTCGATGGGCCGGAATCGAACGAGCTCGCGGGCGCTGGCGGGCGTCGGCCGTTGGCGAGCGGCGATCGCTCGGCCTCCGGAGACGGGGGCGACAATCCCGCGGGCGGAGCGGCGCTGCCCGTCGTCGCTCTGGTGGCCGCCGGCGAAAGCTGCATTGAGTTTCCCCGAGACTACGTGTACATGCCGGAAGGCGGCTCCCCGGCAAGACCAGACGGGGCGGTGAGCAGCACGATGGGCGCCCGTTCGATCCCCTTCCCCTCGCTGTACCGCGTGCCGCCTTCTCTCCTCTGACGGTGCCCCCAGGGGCTTCGGGTGCCTGCTTCGGATGGTGGCGGCGCTGTCGGCGAAGTCGTTGGCTTGGCGATACGGCGTGATGACAACGACGATGATGGCCTTCCTTCCTTGACTAGAAAATCAAACTAAGGGCATTTGGGTTCATAGTGCAGAACGCTAAGCACTGCACCACCCCTCTCCAAAAGTTGTGATGATGCGTTTAAATTATTTTAAATGGTTTTTCGTGTTGCCAAAATGCTTGACTTTTATCGTTTATTTATTTTTGCATTTCAAATACTTTTTCCAAATAAATGGTCACTAACTGGTACTGCGTCATTAGCAGGGGGTGTGCAATCACTCCTTCATCTGACGATGCTAGCATCAAATCGCGCGTGCAAGGGTCAAAGTCTTTCGCGTCCAACACCTTAGTTGTATGTAATAGGTTCAAAGTTATCCTCCGTAGTGGTTGCCACGTTCTCCACGGGAGAGACGAAAAGGAACCGATGCTGAAATGGCATCACAACCACCGGGTCAGATCGGCTCACCGATTTACGGCACGGAATGGTGGCACGAAAATTGAAGCAAGGGTGGCGAGCGCGAATTGATAAACCCGTGTCTGTGTGAGATGCGCAAGGGTTTCGAGGCGGCTGGGAGTGCAATTGCGAACACTGTGCCCATTGTCCTTTTAGGAGAAGTGAGAGCGTGCTCAGCTTTGAGACCGAGTATTTCCCGCAGATTGCTACTCGACGCTGACCTCGCAAACAAATGCCCGCGCTCAGTTTGATGCGCTGTCCATTCAAGAGTCACGATGGGCCATCAACGCGCCCATCGCACCGTTTCCACGTTGGCACAGCGGACGAGATGGTGGCCTTCATTATTTTTTTCTTAGAAAACTAAAAGTTATTTTTTTTTGCTCACCCAATCAATTTTTTTATTGCGATTGGCGCTGTCGGCATGGCGTTCCGGCGTCTTCGTGCACACGATGTTCCAGCTAAGAAGGGGTCGAGTTTGGGGTTCTGAACACAGCCGCTAAGAAGGGGTCACTGCTATGGGTCGCTGCTATGGGTCGGGCCGACTCACTGTAAACCTGGCGACGTGAACGACGTTTCCGCAGCGCCCCTCTGACAGCGTGTGGCGCGGACACCCGGCCCCGTGACACGACATTTTCCTGACACTTGCGTTAAACAACTTCGTCCAAACGTCGACTGAACCGCGGCAGAGGCCACGGAACTCGCCGCAGTACAAACGTAGCGACTTCTTCTTTTCAGATGTCGGCCATTGCCGTTTTCCAGACAAAATGCAGCGCGATCGCACGTGGATTGCAAGGCTTGCAACGTCATAGCACCTTCATGTATGTAGAGGACCGCAGAGCTTGGATAACTACAGGTGACTGCTGCCCCTGCCTTCCCGCGGCGCGTTGCAAGTTGACATCATCGTTATCAGACAGATACAGACTTGAGTATCTGTTGGTGGCTGGAGCACGCGCAGATGTGTGCACACACACGGCTTCACATCGCTCGCTGCGAGTTTATTGCATCAGCAAGTGGCGTGCTGTG